TTGGACAATCCTATTTTAGGCATAATTTTATCCGTAATTGCCAGTTTATTTACGACCAAACAAAAAGTCAGCTGATAATAATTTCCTGCTAATGTTTTGGACGAGAGGTAAGGAGCAAACAAGATTACAGATCTAACTGCTGTTCCAGTGACAAAGTGTCAGCACTAATTAGCTGCAATGTCTGTCCCTGCAGTTATTAACAGAATCAGGGACTGCCCTACGCGTATTTACGTGTAAGTAGCTGGCCGTTACCCCGGACACGCACACGAGACGATGTGGCCAGATAGTCAATCTGTCATCTGGACATTTACATGCGTTCCCCAATAAACATAAATTACAGCCCTTTCATACGCCGTCATTAGCACTGCAATATTTGATTAACGTTATTTCACAAATATCAGAATTCCGCTCTTGAACTTATTTATGAAGTCATTAGGTAGAATTATTAGCTACGGAATGAGTGCACTCAGCTACTAATTAAGAACGTGGAGTAGCCAGTAAACAATTCTGTGTGTAATGTTTGGGTGTGAAACTTGGTCCCTCACATTTAGGGAATATCACAGAATTAAAGCATTTGGTGAGATTCCGAGAAGGTTTTGATCTAACGAAAAATATGGAGCTCGAAAATAAGAGGTACGAAGATGGCGGTCTTCTGGGACGTTGCGCCGTGTAGTGTTGTAGTTACTTAGCGATGTTTTAAGCAAGCTTACTTCCCCCATCATCAGGGCGATAGATAAAACTTATTTACTTACAACTGATTCAACCCAATCCATTAACCACGTAAATATTTCACGCACCGGACAGCCAAAACCAAATGCCACACCCACAAAGAGATTTTGTCTTCAGCGACGTTTAAATTCTAACTGTCTCCGTGGAGCAGAGTCCATGCGTGCTATATTCGCCGCCAACCTAAACTCCTTCATTTGATAACCCTATTAATATTTTGTGAAGAGTATGTTTACGTATTACGAAAGCCCTGGTTACACAATTTTTCTAATTTCTCTCATCGCTTCCTTACTTGTAAGTTCCGATTATAATAATCCAATATAATATAATATAATATGATGACACGTGTAAGTTCTGTGCGTGTTGACTTATTATTACAATTTTCGTGTCTTTACTCGTTGGTAATAAAAATTAACTCCCGACTGATCAATGTAATGGTGAAGTGTTGTGTTTTCCTTGCGGTACGGACTGAATTCTTAAGTACTATTTAGACGAACTTCGGCTTCAAAGTGCGTAAAAACCACGAAATAAATGCGTATAAGGGGCGTGGCGCTGAAACGTCGTGTCTAATGGGAGAGTGATTTTGAATGACGGATTGTTTGCGATGGGTTGTGAAGTATGTGGTCATTTTTTAGGGTGGGCTGAGTAAAACCATGGCCAACTTCCCGTCTTTTAACATTTTAGCACAAATTCTAACGTTAGATTCGTGTTTATTTCAATACTGGGGCTGTTATCTGTTTGTTTGTTGCTGTTTTAGTTTTTAAGTTCATCCGAAGACAGACATTCCCGCTCACTGATAAATATATAATTTCTGCAGGACGGATTTTGACGTCACCGCTTGGATGATGAATAGGATACACAGACGAACATTGTCCAGACACGAGACACTTAGAACTTTATAGTCTATGCCACCAACCCCTGTTCCATTGCAGGGCAAACGCCTAATACAAAAAGAGATCACTTCTTGGCAAAATGGCGGTAATATGTTGCGTTGATCAGTAGAAATATGCCGAGACATTTATCCATGAAACTCGCATAATTAATAAGCATATTTTTTTTTCAGTATGCTTTAAGAAAACGTGTACTAAGAAGGGACATTTTTTTCTTCTACTAGTTCGTGTAGTGGCACGTGTAAATATTTATGCACATGGAAATTAATAATTTTTTTATGGACTGACGGGCTGAGTTTCTCAAATATTTATTTATAAGTTATTTTAATATTATAAAGCGCTTCTAGAAGGATTTTGTCAGTTTCGGAAAACGAAATTGTTAGTGTCGATTGATACGCACAGAAAAACGAGGCGGCAGTAATTTCTTGCCTGTCGGATTTGGAATCCCAGGCACTGTCCATGTGATTCGTAACAAAATCTTCGAAGCTCTACAGCGTGCTGTGATTGGCCGAGCCTTGATACAGGTGTAACGTCACTTCGCTAAAATAATGAACTGGTGTACAACGGAACAGATAAATGAAGAGCCGAAACCACATGTTGAAGGGGAACGGGGGGCGTGGGGCGGGGGGAGAACAGCTTTTTAATTATAAGCACCTTCTCCAGATTCTAGAATGTTTTAGTAAAATTAATGTAGGTATTTAATGCATTTGTTGAGTGAAATTTTAATATTTTCCAGTTTACGCAAGGCATTTTGAATGTTACAGGCGTTCATATTGTTTCAGTGCTGCAGATTGGCTGTAAAAATACTTGCGAAATTTTTGTCGCGAAACTTGGGGAAACTTAGATGATAGATGGGAGGATAATATTAAAATGAACCTTGAATAAGTGCGATGTCAGGTTGTGGACTGGAGTCATTTGTCTCTGGTTTCGAGACAGTGGAGGGATTTTTTGAATAAAATGATGAATCTGACCTAGTTACGTGAAGGTGGGAAAATGTCTTGACTAACTGAGCTACTCTGAATTTATAAAGAATAAATTTGCTTTATGGAGTCACTTTTAATGTAACATATTTTCACGTATTAAAATATAATACGACAAACCTTCCAAGAATCAGGTTTTTTGTTTAAGAATGTTAATTTTACTTGAATACAAAGCTTCAACTTCATTTTTAAGACATTTGACGTCGTTAAAGCATAACCATTGTACACAGTAGAAGATTTAGTTTAGATGATTTAAGCGTATTTTACATATATATATATGTTATTTACTGCTTAAACAAATCCGTATCAGCTAAAATCACGATTGTTATTCCGTACAGTGATCCCACTAACTGTATTGATCGAGATTCTCATGGTTTTCTTCAGTCAGTACAGGCAAATTCCAGGACAGTGGCTTAGACTACATCATGGCAGCTTCCTTCCTCATTCTTTTCAGTTCATATATTCACTAACCGTCTCATCATTAGGCATATAATTTGAGCCACTGGTACTTAACTAAGCACCAGGTCATGCAGATGTATGGGGCAGTGGAGGTACAACTCCACGCGTCCTTAACCTCAGTAGTGTTTCGCCCGTTTCTTGCCAGATGTCCCTGACATCTGCTGAATTACTGTTTGTATTCGCAAAGCAGCTGAAGAAGATTTGGTTCCCAGGTGAAGTTCCCAATGTTCTGGCCATTTGGTTTCCGTAGTCTCACGTCACTCTGTCTCATATCTCTTCCTCAGTGCCTTTTCCTTTCCTCTGACCGTGTCTGTTCCTGTGAGTTGTTCTTTTGTTATCGTCAGACGTTTCGGTCTAAATCGCATAAGAATAAGCAAGTCTTCTTTGTGGCTATTACAGGAAAGAATTTTAGTAAAGTCTGCTTTGCCTCTGTGTTCAGACGTGATTCTGAAACATGGACATGTGAACTGTATTTACATGCCTGAAGAAAAACTGGATTCCGCCTTCCGATAGTTTGAGACTTGAATTTCTCACGGCGATGAGTACGATGTGGTTGTGTTGTTTGACGTTTCATGATGAAGACAGCCAGCTCCTCTGAAACGTCGGTCGGTATCTACCACAATACACAGTGGTACTTCACAGAAGACAGCCATCTGTACTATTTAACTTTGTTCAGATATTGAAATATCGACAGAATTTTCATATTAAATTTAATTATAGCTGTTCGACATTTGGACTACTTCAGTTTTCCTCACGCAAATGTTACAGAGCATTGGATGCTGTGGGAGTGAGTCTGGTGATAGAAATGTGATTTGGTCTTTTCTTAATCGATTCCGGCCTGAGGCATCGTGGTCGCTAATCGTTGTAATAATTTTCATTGACACCCAACTTACCATTCCCGTTATTGGCTGCCATCCATTACACAGTTAACAGTCTTAGGACTACTCAGTAAATATGGAAATATTATTAAGCTTATGACCTGTTATTTGATATAATAATAGACTTTTCTAGAACGGAACAGATGTTCAGGCGTGCGGGAAAAGAATCTAGTATCTAGTAGGCTTACATTAATGAAGAAAGAAATGCTTACGGAATTTTAGTTTTTACACCTGAAGGCAGGAGGCTTCTTAGGAGACCGAAACGCAGGCACGAGGATAGGACATAATGAAATGGATTTAAAACAGGATATGACGTTGTAGAGTGGATTGATCTGGCTCAGGACAGAGTCCATTGACACGCTGTCATGTACACGGTAATGAAAATTTGGGATCCGATAGGAGGCGAAGAATTTCTTGACGATCTCAGTGACTCTCAGTTTTACTGGATCCATATAACCAATCCGCACCCAGTCTTTATATTTCCCTGAGATCAATTTTAATATTATTCTCGTTTCAACGCCAAGGCCTTCCGAATTGCCTCATCCATTTAGGCTTTAAACCGGAACTTTCCACGAGTTTCTTATGTCTTTCATGCACGCTACATGCCCCGCCCATCTCATCCAGTATCGACGGGCATTATGTAACTCCTCAGATAAGCTTAGTGTTACTCATCTGTCCTTTGTCACTAACAGTGTACACAGTACTGAGCCATTAGATAACATGACATATGACTGGTGACCATTTGAAGTGTGCGTATTGATATTTGTAAAGCAAAAATTTAAAAACTGCTAACGCGAGAAATTTAAAAAAAGGAACATAGATATTCTTATGATATTTTGTTTCGACATTATGCCTTGTCTGTGCTTAAAGTTACAACAGTATAAAAATTAAAATATCAAACATTTTAGAATGTACAGCGTTTCGGAGATTGGTTTTTCCTCTGTCTTCAGGTAACAAGCTGTCTGTTGTGTGAGGCCCGTCACATGAAGCTAATGATCACTGGACCCCCCTCCCCAGAGTCTGTAACTTTGTTCCTTGAATTACTTTAACTGCATGTATCCACTTACCATTGTAGAGAACAGAGACCCTGCTGTTGGCACCACTGCCATAATCCGGTGTGGCAGCAGTGACGGACCCCAGCACGGGGAAGGGTTTCCTGGAGGTGGCAGGACACTCGCCGCGGGCGACTCGCCTACCACGTCTATCTCCTCCTCGTCCTCGTCCTCCGCTGGGGGCGGTGTCGCCTTGTCCTCGCCGCCGCGGTCTGCCCACGGGTAGGCCTTCCACTTCTTGGCCATGAGGCACCTCGGCATCTTACGAACGTGAGAGGTTCACTGTTTATCACGCCACTCGTCTGCGTCGCCTCCTCTTCGTCTTGAGCACCACTTTGCCGGCGACGCGTGCCTCTGCAGGTGTTGAGTGTTCGTGGTGGCGATGGTAGAACCAGGGCGCTGATAAATGTCGTGATCGAGATGCTAATGGGTCTCCTGGTGCCGTCATCCGGAGAATGGAGAGGCGAAGTCGAGGGTGTTTTCAAATCCGCTTCGTCTCGCGGCAGTGGCTTGTGCTGAGGAACCTCCGATGGCGCCAGGAGGTGGCTTCTTGTGGTGATGACAGGACAGAGAGGATCATGCCAGAGAAACACGTGCACAGAGACTGGCAATGCAGTGGGGACAGGAAGAAGGCCAACACGGAAAATACCCCCCCGAACAAACCCAGCGAAACGAAAACGAAACCAACCCTAGACTGCAGCTTTTGGATCTCCCCAAACCTCTACATCGCCTTTTATATTTCCCAGTGGCAGTGGTGGTGGGAAAAAAGCCGACACGAACAGGGTTTCGACGAGGAGGGGGTGCATTCGAACCCTTACGAGTGCCTCACCCCTATGCACCACCCCTACTCTCCAACCCTGCTCTCTCGCTCACATGCGCGCGGCTGACATTGATTACGACGTGCAGCGTCGGAACTCGGGGAGGGAGGTGGGGGTGAAGGAGTGGGGGATTGGAAATAGGGAAGGGAGGGGAGTAGAACCTCCCGAAAAATGAAGAGCGCCCAGTTCCAACAGTGGCTCCACCCACCTGCCCCGTCCTGTTCCCCGGCCCCGCTTGGGCCGTCTACCACCCTCAACTACAGCGCCTCCCAGAGTCTTAAGCTGAGCCCACACCTTGGTCACACCTCGCAGCGCCACGTGGCTCTCTCGACAACAATTCACCTCTCATGATGTTCCTTTCTTATTTCTAAGACGCGTTAAAATATGGAGGTGTGTCACAGAACTTAAAATTCTCGGGCCAACCACTGAGTGTTAAGAAGTCGTACCGCAAAGAAAACACAACACGTTGCCATTACAAAGATCAACTCGTTAACGCTGTTTAAGGAAATAATCGCTGTTTACGCTGAGAATCATACGAAACCCGTAAACACAAAGTGAACAGTTACGGATTTTCAAAACAGGTGGTACATATAATTACCGCTCTACTTTGAAGGGGTAAGAATAAAGCTCCTTAATATCCTGGAACAGTTCCAGACTCTTGTCGTCCTGTAGTGGTTGACAGATCGTCGTAAGTCGCGTATCAAAACTTTTAACCGGTTATTTATTTTCTCTGCACCTGAAGATGATTTCCATAGCTCGAAAGCCTGTAGGAAGGAAGTCAGCTACTTTAACACCTGGAAGTTTGCGTGAATCTTGAAGTGGCGCGATATGTAGAGACACGCAAGCTTTTGTCTTGTGTCATAAAATCTATTTGTATTTAAATGGGTAAAATCTCTGTTTCCACTACATCACTGCTTTTAGCACGCCACTTTCTTATAATCCGCCCTGAAAATGTTATCATTTCCTGCCAATTCTTTTAGATCACTGAAATGCCAGTCCATATTTACTTCACGTCGTGTCAAGACCTTCGTTCATTTAGCCTTTTCCTGACTCACTCTAAGTCATTTTTCACACAGAATCATTTATTGAAAGCCTTTAAATATTGATATCTTGAACCTGCAGGAGCCCAGCGGGTTAATCGCCCAAAAATATGAACGAGATTATGAGAAGTGGGATTTCTAATACTCATGAAAGAATTGTGTACAAAGTTTTGAGTGGGAAATCTATAGAAAGCAAACTTAAGGTAATATTAAAACGCAAACAAATTGGAAATATATGAAATGTGCAGTTCTAAAACTCCCTCGGTCCACTTGACAGACATTCGGGAAATGGGTTTCAACAAATCTGCACTAAGCAGAAAAACGTAAAGAACGGACTTAGCTACTTTTGGAGACTGAAATCACTGAACATAGAAATTACGTCACGTCTATATGAAGGTGCGTGTTTCACAACGACGTTAACATTCTTGAAAATTTTAACAACCACCAAGTGTTACAAACATAGGTTTACCTATTAAATATGACGACAACACACAAAAATAACTATTAATGTAAAGGTAAAGTTGTCTCCGTGCTTATTTAAGCACCACGTCATGATGACGTATGTGGGAATAGAGACGTAGTTCCAGGCTGTCTTGAACTACACACTTGAACCTGTATACTATCTGTGAAGAACAAGAAATGTTGTGTAACGTATGATTAAGAAAGTCTTAGGGCTTCTACGCCTTACGAACTAAAGATTCATAGATGATAGGTAAACTAGTGTAGTTACACAGGCGACTTCCGAGGTATCCAGTCACATCAGAACCCTGATGATGGGGACAGAGTTGGTTCCCGAAACGTCGGCTGATTCTCCGAGAGGATTTTATTGATTGTACTCGCCGCGAAAGTCTCAAATCCTATATCGTAAAAGCTTGTTAACCGCGTAAAATATGAAGACGTTGTTGTGACTGAAGAATACTTGAGTTTAGATCCGTGAAGTCAAAAATGGTTTTGTAAGATGTTGCATGGATCAATATTATGCGCTCAGCAATATCAAAATGCTTATGATGAGAGTCGCGCAAATATGTTTTTATACCAAGTATTGGAAACCAGTCTGCGACTATAAATTTGTATCGTTTTTGAAATTGTTAAACAATCTGATGCGTTGTAAACTAAACTAAAAAAAAAGACATAAATAACAATTTTCGCATACTTGAGCGCCACAGATGTAAGCTTAAACCATCGGAGATTTCAACGCAGGAATAAGCAGCGAACTTCATTCGGTAGCGACGGCAATGAGCGTATTTCAGTATCGTGTCCACAAGAAATTCAACCGTAGACACGAATCACGAAAACTTACATTTCATCCATCTGTAAACGTAAATTAAAAGGTTTCCACACAGCGTTGAAAGTTCTGCATTTGGCCAGCAACATAATTGAATATGTAAGACTTGAGGTTCTCACAGCGGTGAGTATGAAGATATCCGTCTTCTGGGTTATTGCGCTGTGTAGTCTGGTCGATGTTCAACCCAGAAGACGGAAATCTTCAACATAATTGAAGTAGACTCTGTGAATAGGGCAGTGGCCAAGTGGTTGATTGTGATTCTTAATTTATTCAGGAACGCTGTTTCAAGTATAGATTTTGTATTACACAATAAGCTAGGAATATGCTAACGGGACGTGTGGTGTCCACTTGAGATGCTCTGCCCAGTACTAACGCCAAAAAAATAACATTTATTCGTAGTACGCTTAGTGTGAGTGGAGCGAACACCACCTCGCCTAATGTTCTTTGACCGGCTAATATCTTCTCTGCCGTCCCGTTGCAAAAACCAGGCCGTAACGAGCCAAACCCAAACTGCATCTGTGGATGATGCGGACAACAGCATGGCGGCCTGCCGCGTCAGCTGTGTTAAGTATTAAGCATCACAGTAGCCGGGTTGTCGAATAACGCGGGTATCTGATTAGCCCATATAAAGCTATTCATAAAATATTTCCTTGGGGTAAGTTCATTTCCTTTGCGTCATGTGATCGGTTTGAAAGCTGTTGCGGTGATATT